AATTAATAAAACATACTACGCAATTTCTTATCCCATTTTACCATTTATTATGCAGATGTGCTGTTTAGATTTTTGCAGTGTGCATCATACGAAAAGTAAACAATATTAAGCAAGAAGTTCCCAATAGTCAATGATCAACTTGAGTCATTTTGATGGAAAGGTCTAAAGCCAATCCTCTGTCAGTAAAAGCATGATTTTTGGAGCAGAATTCCAACTTTTTTGACTTAAAATGCACTGATTAAATGTCTGTATTGTTTATGTTATGATATCAAAACTCTTTTTTTCATTAGATAAATTCAAATCAAATTGAAAATCAAGCTTGTTCATTATGAGGAAAAAACTGTTTGCAGAGGGCACTAATTAGTAATTAATTAATCGTGATCATTCAAATTTCCATTCAATTAGGAACGCCCTGAAAAAGATTAATCACAATTTAATTTAAAATCGCAATTTGAATGGACACTATGAGCAAATAGTAAAGGCTCCAGTTTTTGAAGTACCATCATTTTCTCCAAAAACTATGAAAAATGCTTCTTTCTGAATAAAAACTGTTAACTTTGGTAGTTTAGATCTGTACAAAAATGTTCCGAAATGTGATTCTGTTTTCTTTGCTTTTTATCAATTCTTATGGATGGGTTAATAAAGTGAACTCTGAAACCAATCCTTTTATTAAAAAACATAAATCGCAAAACTAATCGCAAAGCTTGTGAGAAAAATTGCACTTTTTATTTTTCCCAAATCGTTCAGCTCTTACGAAAATGCATTATATTTTTTCAAAAACACGCACGCAATATTTTCCAGCAATTTCTATTCAAAAACAATTTCTTCACACCGGTTGCCAAAGTGCAGCTCCATTTATAAGGATTTGGAGGCTGCGTGGTTCTGTATTCGCCTGGGTGACGGCGCTCTGTCAGATAGCGGCAGGATAAACTCACTTTCACTTGAGTTGACTCAGTGACTCACGGTGCACAAAAGGTGAGAGGAGGTAAAGGTGCCAGTACAAAGTGATGCACAACAGATAGTCAACAATGGACGGTCTACTGCTGATGCAAGGAGCTGTAATGTATAGCTGCTAATACTGACTTTATGTCCTATGTTTATGAATAACATGGTAACAAAAATGGTGAAAAACTGAAATAGATTCCCAAAATTTAAATTCAGTTATCAGTGATTGCCATTTGTGAATGAATCGTCATTATGGGTTCAATCTAAAATGCTGTTTGGACTACATGCATCACGAATTTCGGACTTCCGGTCATTGCGCAATGCATACGGGGAAGGATTTTCCGAAAAAGTGAGCATCAAACCTCCATGTTTGTTTTCCCAGTGGGATGAGTCTATTGACAAAGCCAGTCTTTTCTAGTCTTTTGAACCATATCGCTTTTGTTTCTGGTTTTGATATCATATTTTAGTGTGGCGGCAGTAGCTCAGTTGGTAGAGCATTCGCCCACTGATCTGAAGGTTGGCGGTTTGATTCCAGCTCTTGACATGAACATCACAGGTTGAGCGGTCGGATCCACTGACCCACAGGTTGGCTGGTGTGATTCCAGCTCCCACAGATGAATGCTGTCCTTGGGCAAGACACTTAACCCACCTTGCTCACAGTGTCTGCGTACACTGGTGTGTGAATGTGTGTGTGAATGGGTGAGTGGTTCCTTGTTGTAAAGCGCTTTGAGTTCTTGAAGGTGGAAAAGCGCTATAGAAAAATGTGACCATTTACCATTAGTTTTGGGATTCGGATATCGTAATTCTGTGGTTGTTGGCTGTCCAAACAGCGGAAAAAGGCTTGAGAAATGGGCTTTGGAAGTTTGCAAACTCCATAAATGCAAAAGGGAATCAGATCTGTGTGACTGCAAACCTCTGTCCAAACTGTTTCCCTTCCCAACGGAAATGAAAAATAGTGAAAGGCGAAGGCGATGGGCAGGATTGATCCACAGGAAGGTCAAAAAGGAAACCTTTGACTGCCTATATCATCCCGGGCTGACCGGAAGTCCGAAATTTGTGATGCATGTATAGAAATTACATAGAGCAATTCATGAAAATCAGCACAAATAAGCATGCTTTTTCCTGATATGTTCCGAGGCATTAATCATAACTATCTAGCGTAGAAGCGCCCAAACTTTCATCCTCGGTGGGTCAAACTGAATACGTATTAGAAGACCATGGGCCAAACGTATTCATGTTTTTCACGTAAAGAGTTTGTCAGTAAAGATATAAAATTACGTTTAACCCCTTAACGTCCAAATAATGAGAGACTATGTAACTAAGGAAAATGTTTAAAGTTAATGAAAGCACAAGAGATATAGTGTAACATGCATATGGATAACTGATTGGTGACTTAGTCTGGTTTTGGGGTGGGGAACGATTATTAAAGAAATATTTAATGTGTTGGTCTGTGAAAGGAGCAGGGTTTATGAGATGCATCTTCTTCCTGTTCCTTTTGTTCATGCAGCAAATACAAGGCAAATAATCATAGCAATATGTATATATGTTAATTTTCAGATTTTTTGTTGTTGTTCTCTTTAAGTTGATGCCAAGAAAATAATAGCACGAGCAATAAATAAATAAATAAATGTATATAGCTGTATATAAAAATGTTTTTGCCTTTAAGAAGATTAAGATGTAAATTAAGTTCAGATTATTAATTTGACTATAGCAAAAAATAAATATAGAAAAAAAATAGAAAAGCTTGCCTGTAAAGATTTAAAGGTCCTGTTGGTGCATCACTTGTGGTCATACTTGGTCTCATATTTATTTTGTTTTATGGTGGTGTTTACGTGGTGCTTTGTGTTGTGTTGTCCTGTTTTTTGATAAAGCATGTCATACCCTGTCCCGAGACAAATTTCTCACATGGGAGACAAAGGATTATCTTATCTTGCCAAAGGTTCCTAGGAAGGTCTAGCATCTGCACTAACTGGCATTGGGGGAAAGCAGCTGCTATCTCGACTTATATGTTGATCCAAACGTCTTGTTGCGTATTTGTGACAATCGGTGTTAAGGTGCTATTTATGCAGCTTTTAGGGAGATATATTTTGATTTAATCTTGTCTATGTTTCTTACAAATCTAGACAATCCTAGGAGGGCCAAATTCGACCACTTGGAGGGCTAAGTTTGGCCTTCGAGCTTTTCGTTTGGTACTGCTGATCTAGTGTTTATTTCACTGGGTGTTTTTATTGCTAAAGAAACTTTCCACAGACTGATAACCCGACCTGGAGGCACTACCAGCCTGTCATCGTGGATATATAACAGTTCAGTGCTATACTGTGGTGGGACATTATAGGCAAAGAAATAACATCTCCAAGGAGGCATCACCTTTGAGCAACTGTTTTCATACAGATTGTAAAGCTGTGTTTCTTCAACTTTTTTCTGGGGACCCATATTTTAAAAGCCACAAACCTTCGCGACCCAAGTCAATAGACATTATTTGTAAATCACAAAATAAAGATGGATTTAACCACTACTGAACATTAATGAGGATATTTTATTGTTGACTGAGTGATTGTGTCTCTCTGAACAATTAGTATTACTCAAGTTTTAAACAATGAAAAACAGTAATTGAGTGCGTATACATGCACATCAGTAACCCGGTTATTAGCCATACCCCGGTTATGTCAGTATTCGGGTTACTGCGTATACATGCGCACTGAGAAACCGGGATACTCATATCCGCGTATACATGATCAAATGGAGTATCCCGGTTTCTTGACATAATCTTACAAATGCGCAGGCGCAAAAATTAACTTAAATCAATTTCATAAACCAGGAAAAATACAAACCGTGAGCTCCTTTAGCATAAGAAGCTAAGGAGCTACGAGATCTCCCACAATCCACTGTGCAGATTCTTCATTAAAATCTTCTGCATAAATAAACTCAACTTTACAACATATAAACCATAAAGACTATAGAGCCACATCAGCCCGTTTGATCATATAATTCAGCTGTGATCACATTTGTTTACGTTTTACAGAAACGAAACTTAAGACCGTTTGGCTAATTAGCATAAACTGTTAGCGGCGATAAAAACAACTCGCTCCTTGCGCCGCTGATGCGATCAGTTTCTTTTGGACTAAATGACACGACTCTGTGGATTATGTGTGTTATTTCTGTGACAGAAGAGGCGCTAATGATGGTAAGTGTGTTCTGTGCATATAGAGTATAGGAGATAGTTCATGTTTTAGCTTTTCAGCGATCACACGAGTGCAGGTCGTACGAGTGCAGATTGTACGTGTGCAGGTTTAGCGCAGCTCTTTATTTTACAGTCATTTCACTCGTTTGGTCACTTTATTTATGTTGGTCAATTTATTTATGTCACTACTGTTGTGGTGAAAGGCTGGAAAGTGTCTTTTGGACGCATGCGCACTCAACTTTATGTTGCAGTAACCGGGGTACTGCGTATACATGCCACAAGTAACCCGGTTACTATCGGAATAAACCAGCTACAGTAACCCGGTTTCTAATAACCGGGATACTGCCATAACCGGGTTACTGAAACCGGGTTACTGCGTATACATGCACCATCAAGAAACCGGGATACTCAAAAAACCCGATCATAACCGGGTTACTGATGTGCATGTATACGCACTCATTGAAACAGCAATAAAAGGATCAATAAGGACATTAAAAGGTGGACCTGTATATTGCAGATCGTGACAAGGCAACCAACAAAAAAATCTCTTGTGACCGGTCTTTTGGAAACACTGTTCAATTAATCACTTAAAGAAATAAACGAAAAGTACATCTCTAATTTACTTTTAAGCCATTGAGGGTGTATTCTCAAAACAAAACCATTTCCTCTAGTACACAACAAATACTTCTAATTCAGGGGTAAATGCTTTATCCATTTAACCACTCAACTTGTCGAAAATCTCCTTAACAAACCAATCAACAATCCAACAAAAGGCGCCAGCAAAACAAACATCCAAAACTTTTCATTCTCAGTTTCCAGCTTTACATTTGGGAGCGAATTCAAACCAGCGAAAGCCAAATCCAAACTTCCTTACCTTTCTGTACACGATCATGTTTGGAGAGTCGTCTTCCACGTCCATCGTACTCATCGACCTCATGGACAGTAGGGCTCTGGTCGGGGTTCTGGTCTGGACCTCCTTAGACCCATCCTCGGACCCCTCATCGGACTCTGTGGACCCCTCGGTACTGGTCTGGTCCTGGTCTTTCTCCTCTGCGTCCTTATTGGGCGTTTCGTCTTTCTCGGCCTCTTTCTCCGTCGGTTCTTTCAGTGGTGGTGGTGGCTGCTGGGTCGCCTCCGCCATCTTGAATTGATTCTATCTTCTCTTTTTGCAATTGTTGTGAATCTTGTTTGATGTCCTCGTGTGCTCCCTCCTCAGGATAAGACGCTGCAGAAAGAGGAGAGAGAGTGAATGAGGCAGTAGAACTCAACACTGGCCCCGATCCAAAAAATAGACAATTTTGTTTTGTGACACTATCCATGTCGATAAGAAAAATTGAAGGGACACTGTCACTTTTTTGCATGGAAGGTTCACCGTGTATTCGTCTCCATGAAGATGTTATTGCCTTTGCTTAGAATATTCCACATGGGGGCTTTAAATGTTTCCATCTACCTGGAGACAAGCAGATGACGCTGCCAGTAAAGTTACAAATCAGAACTGTGGCGTTTGTCGAGCAATAAATACACCTGCATTTGAATAACTGTTAGATTAGCAAATTTAAGGGTCCTATATTATACAAAATCGACGAGTTAAGTCATATTATAATGTTTCCTCATCAAAAACAGGCCTGGAGTTGTGTTTTGTTTCATTCACATGTTTGAGTAATCCTTTATTATTAGTCTGTCCACATCTCCAAACATCGAAACGCTCCGTTCCTCCTGGTGGCACTATCAGCCTGACAGTTCAATGTTACACTGCGGGACATTGTAGGCAAAGAAATAACATCTCCACGGAGGTACATCATCTTCGAGCAACTGTTGTGGAAGTTTGCACTAAAGGTAAAAGGTACCTGTTAACTTGTAGTTGAGATTGGTCATTACAGGGCTGAAATTATCCAAATTATTCTAGTGCATAGATCAGAAAATAGCAGAAAAATCAATCAAAGAAATAACACCTTTATGAAGATATATTTATCCCAGTGGCAGACCCCTCACCAGAAAAGTTACATACTACTTCTTTAAAGAAACGGTCAAGAATTTTGGACATTGGCTCACTAGGAAATGAGGCCCTGAGTGTTGGAGACGTGTGGAGACACTTTTTTAAATATTCTGTCCAGTCCTTGTATTTGCAGAGGTCACTGGTGCTAGGCTAGTGCATGTCAATGGCCATAGTTATCCTGCCACTAAAAACACTCTTACCCACTCCACAAAACACCCAAAGCAAATTTATTATTACACCAGACTGTTGATGTAAATGTCTGTTTTGATAGAATAATGTTTGAAATAAAACTAACCTTGCATCGCATGAATTGTCGCATGTTGAGGGACTATTTTCTCATGTATCAGTCCGCCGCTGCCGAGCTTTCTATCAGGAAGTACAACTCGCTGCTGCTGCTCAGACAAATCTTTCAAATGCAAGGTTGGTTTTACGTCTAAAATTATTGTATCGACACAGACATTTACATCGACAGTCTGGCGTTAATAATTGTTTTGCTTCGAGTGTTTTGTGGAGTGGATAACTATGACCATTGACATGCACTGTACTGACTGCAAATACAAGGACTGGATGGAATATTTAAAAATGTGTCTCCACATGTCTCCAACATTCTGGCTCACTACGAAATTAGGTCCTATGTCCAAATTTCCGGACTGCCCCTTTAAAGTTATCACAATCAAGTCATTACAGTCTAGTCCATCCCTCCTTCACACTTTATAGCAGAAGAATCATCAATTTCCTCTCATTCTCTTCCTCTTCACCAACAGTATTGAAACCTTCCGGCATATATTTTCCCCACTGCTTTTCCAAAGTTAAATAAACTGGTAATTCATTTGAGTTTGAACAGCATTTGTGAAAATGCTGAAAAATAAAAGGGGAGATATGACATTTATTCATCTACAATTCTGTTTCAAACTGCAGGTTCCTAGCAGCATATACACCGATGCACAAAAATGGAAATAAACAAGCAAAGAATTTGGTTAAAGATTTTAAAGTGGGACTAAACACTGACTCCTCCACATTTTTTGCACTACTAAACTGTATATATGGGGTTTTATTAGCATTATCTATGTTATGTTCCAAGTTAAATTTGCAGCTTTCTTGTCAAAAACACCAAAAGCGAAGTGTGTGCTGGCTTCAGCGGCCTCTGCAATTTCCAGTAATTGGTGACATCACGTATGACTGCCGTGATTTCTGATTATAAACACTTGGCTGCAGGGACAGTGTTTGAAATTTGGACCAATACAATCGCACCGTTCCTTATACGCACAAACCCCGCCCATCTTCCCTCGTCACTCTCCCCTTTAGTTTCGTTTGGGTTTAGGTGTTTAGTCCCACTTTAAGTTTGAAAGCAGAAAAATTTATCCAATTCAAGTGTGTAAAATTTCTCATAAAGCCAATATTTTGGGTTGGAAATTGGGAATTCATTGCACCTCAAAACATGTTTATGAAATAGTCCGTGCTTTTGATCGTGTGAATTGGGTAATCTTGTTATTTTAAAAGACTGCACTGTTCCAGCAACAGATACTGAGGATGTAATTATGAGTTTTAAAATGTGAAATAGCTTTTAAAGGCTTCATAAATTAACAAAGACATTCGAAATAAAGTAGAGAATTTGTCTGCCAGACTTCAGCCGTGTTTTAAAAGAAAGTGGCCAATTAAAACTTTTGATAAGTTTATTTAGATTTGATCCAAAACCACAAATTGGCAAAGTGCACGACACAACACACCAGCTTTCAGAAATCAACAGAAACTGATAGGCCTGTTTTCTATGTTTAATTATTCACATAGGGAAATGTGTTCACTGTATTCGACGCCTTTGGTAAATAGTGAGAATATGAAGAGTGTTTGTCTCCATGGTGATGTTATTGCTTTGAATGTTCCACAGTCTGGCGTTAAACTCATCAGCTGCATCTATTCAATAACAGGTGCTTGTATTGTTCAAAAATAACTTCAATTATTTCAATTATTGAGACTTGTTGAATGAATGTTGCTTTAATTGTTCAAAATGTTATTTTAATTATCCAGGTGTAATAATTATTCAATACACTTCCCTGTATATTTATATTTTTAAAGCCACAGTTCATTAACCAGGCTGGTGCCACCTAGTGCCTCCGCTCAGTTTCATTTCTCTCCAGCAACTAGGTCAGGAATCAAAATACACTAGACGGTTTGCAAGAACCCCAGAATGCGAGTTCGGGCACCAGCCAATCAGCAAAGAGCCACATATTCAGTGTTGCAAATGATTCCCGTAACCAAGGATTTAAAACTGGAATAAAGAGAATGTTTGATGAATTTTATCAAGGGGAAAGGCATTATTGCACTTTTTCCTACGGGATTTGGGAAAAGCTTAATATACCAGTTAGGCAGCATTACACATTACATATGTGACTACCACATAGCAGTGATTGGTTAAATGATAAAAAGTACCCGCCTACTGTCGAGCAAACAAATTCTAACACTGCAAGGTGAATCAGGCTGGTGCCACCTAGTGCCTCCGCTCAATTTCATTTCTCTCCAGTGACTAGGTCAGGAATTGGAATACACTAGACTGTTTGCAAGAACCCCAGAAGTTGTAGACCACACACCAGCCAGTCATTGAAGAGCTGTGAAGCCCTGACGTCAAACTCAAGCACCTGTCTGGGTCCCTTTTGTGGAACAGCACAACAGTAAACAAAACTGTCAAGATGGATGTAGACGAAGACAGACATTCTGTGTTTGCAACGATTCCCGAGATCGAGGATTTAAAGCCAGAAAAAAAAAAGATTATTTGGTGAATTTTATCAAGGGGAAAGATGTTATTGCCATTCTTCCTATGGGATCTGGCGATTCACATACTTACAAAAGTACCCGTCTACCGTAGAGCAAATAAATTATAATGCTGTGAGGTCAGACAGTTTCCACAAAGAGAATGAATGATGAATCAGGCTAAGAGTTTGTAACTTTTTCACCAAAAAAATTGACTAATATAAAAGAATGTGTCTATTTTTGTATGTTTTTTTTATGTTTATTGCACTGACAAACAGATGCCCATACTCTGATCAGGCTTGCATCTCCACAAACCTCACCTCCTCCTGATTGTTTCCATAGAAAAGTGGTTCCTTTGACTATAATCTTCCACAGTATGGCTAAAAATCTAAATCTATCTCCATTGAGAATGTTCGGAAGTATGGTTTTAACTTTGTTTCTAATCAATCAAGTAGGTACCACCCCCAGAAAGACACACTGAGCCTTTAACGTGTCTGTTTATACAACATAACACTTATCTCCATATGATTACATTTACAGTTGAAAGTGCAAGACAGAATCAATGTTGTGTTTCTGCATGACTGCTCAAACTGCAGCTGTTCCACTTTTGTGCGCTAACTTTCCAACAGCTCAATAGTTTATTAGAGCATCAGAGGCTGTGAGCGAGCTCCATGTCGTGTATTGGATTGTAAAACACACAAATGACTTAAGTGTGAATAAATGAAAGATTATGCAATGTCATGATGTGAAATCTACACAGAGAACAGATAAATGTAGGACCTACTTTTTTTGAGCGTTGCATGAATTATAAATTAGCAAATATCTGTGTCAGTACATGCTGTTCAGAAGAATTTGTTTTGAAAGCTGGAGAAATGGAACCCAATGCATTTTTGATAAATGTTCCGTAAAAAATTAGATTAGTTTAAAAGGCTCATATTACACTATTTTCCGATCTCTGTTTTAATATTGGTTCCTCATAAAACACATACCTGGAGTTCTGTTTTGTTTAACACACAAACTCTTCATATTTAGGCTAAGCGCTTCTCTCAAACAGAAAACAACTCCATACACTGTCACTAGAATCATTTGGATAACTTCAGCCCTGGAATTGCCAATCTTTGCTGAACTAAAAAGGTAAAAGGTACCTATTTTTTTTTGGACTATAAGACACACTTTTTGTCACGGTTTGGCTGGTCCTACGATTTACACTCCAGTGGGACATATATTAAAATTTTCAGACTGACAGCCAACAGAGGGCGCTCTAGGCTTGTGTGTCAGCATCTGCTGCTCCTATTACTCCTGTACCACTGTCACTTGGTTCTACTCCGCATGTCTCCTGCAAAAAGAGCCTCTGTCCTGTCTGTGTCATGTCAGTCGATTGCGCCATTATTTCTGTACCACTGAAAAATTGAACGTTTAAACAAACTTAATACAACTGACAAGACTGAACATAAATGCCCCCAAAAAGAAAATCATATTTTGAA